TTTTCATTTGACATTAATCGGTTAATAATTTACAAATTTTAGTTTGTTGATAATAGTATCATCGATTTTCTTATTCATACCTAACACAAATCACTTTTGCCATTGAATGCAATCGGTATGTTCCGGTGCTTTTTCTGGATTGTCGCATTGTTTGTCGTCATAGAAATAGCAAGAACAGGAAACGGTGCATTATCAAAATTATGGCAAAAGCAAAAATGTTGGTCATCCGGTAATGGTCAATCTGCTCGTTGGTTTAATCATGGTGAACGCATTAATCGAGGTTTATTTTAATTCTTTTTTTTTAAGCTTATTTTAACTAATTAGCTAATTTTTAACTAATTAAAATGACTTTAAGAGGAAATATTAGTAAATATAAAATTAATTAATACATATTACAAATTTTCAAATATTATTTTTTTTTGAATAACAAAATTGTGTTCTATTTCGAATTTTTAAAAATTTTTTCAAAAAAGTTAAAACTATTAAAAGCTAGCATAATTAATAATTTAATCATTTTAATTTTTCTATTTGCATTTTTTTTCATCTGATAAAATATATGTTTGTTAAAACAACTTGAAAAAGATGTTAAATTTGCGCTTCTCAATTTAAAGAATTTTTCACTCCAATTTTTCCTTTTTTTTTTACTTTTTTATTCATTACTTTGTTTATTACTCATAGCTATCATTCACGTACGCTTAAATCATCACGCATAATTTCTAAAAAAATTATTACAGATACTAAAGTAAGAGTTGACAATTTTTTTTTTTTGTTCAATTAATAAAAAAATAAAAAGTTAGCCAACTGTGTCAAATATTTCCTGTATCAATTAAATCAATTAGCAAAATGTTACCTGAAAGCATCTTCTTCTACTAAATGCAACATTAATAAATTTAACAACAAGTAATTTGGCATCATTAAAGCTGATTTTGTTAAATTTATCAAATTTTGTAATTAAGCAGAAAAAAAAATTGATTACTTGTAATTGAACTTGTTATTCGAGTTTTACAAACTTTTTTTCAACCATAATTGGAATTTGAGTGTCGCAAACTTTTTTTTTCAAAGATCATCAAAGTGTGACAAATTTTTTTTTCAATGATCGCTAAAATGTCATAATCTTTTTTTTAAAGATCATTAGAGCGCTATAAACTTTTTTTTTCAAGGAAAGAAAAAAAAAGTTATGAATTAAACAAAGTTTATCGTTTCAGGATAGTTTGATAGAAAAAAAAAAAACCAGTTATGAAATATGGATTTGATAGCTTAAGATTTCATTAGCTATTAACATAAATTCATTATGTTTGTTAAAAACATATTATTGAGTTAAAAATTTGAAGAGAAAAATTTTGCTTATCCCACTTACAGTTATTGAAAAGTTAAAAATTTGAAGAATTTAATTTAAAATTATCAAATATTAATTATTATCTGTTGATAAAATTTCGTTTTAATTTTTATTTTTTTTTTTTTTTAAGGGGAAATATTGGTACCGATGTATTAGTGGTGCATTACAACCAAAAGGTTGTTTCACATCAACCAATAAACAACTATATATTGGTGATAAATTTGTGGAAAATGGTTATGAAATGGAATGTATCCTGGATAAAAATGGTTATTTAAAATTTGCATTTACAGCATGTGTACCAAAAAAAGGTGAACGATATAAAATTGGTGAAACATGGGAGGATAAAAAGGTAAAAATTTTTAAATATACCTGAAATATTATTGTATGTTATGGCATACGATTAAAAACAATAAATAAAAAGAATAGTGGGGGAAAAAAAATAATAAAACAATAGTAATAAAAAAAAAAAATAATGATAAGTAATTTTTAAGTAATTTATTATAAAAATACAAATTAGTCATTAATTGATTTAAAATATAAATCAATCATAATTTATCAATAAATATATGACATTACGAATATGATTTATTAATACTTTTGCTATATTATAGTATTAATTTTTAGGTATCAATAAAAAGTTAATATTGTAAACAACGTAGTAGGAAGTTAATACTATTGTAAGCAATAAAGTAGAAAGTTAATACTACTGTAAGCAATAAAGTACGGTTATTGTTGTTGTATTGTAATTTTTCAAAATTTCACATTTTAAATTAAATTGATAATTAAAATTCAATATTATAGCATATGTATTGGTTTGAATGTAAAGAAGATGGACCATATTTGAGGGTTGAAATTGGTGGTTGCATAACTCATGATAAAAAACGTCGTATTGCAATCAATGAAGTATATGATTTTGGCGAATACACGTTTGTTTCATATATCATTCCTTCAATTTCTTTTTTTTTTTTTTTTTTTTTTTAAATATTACTCTTTTTTAATGTCTTTTTCTTTTTCTTCAAATTTTTTTTTAAGATTAAAATTTAACACACTATCTACTTCAAACCATATTAATTAATCATTTTTGTTTTGATACGATCATTAGACATAAACATTCAATGAATCAAAGTTTCCGCTTCTTCTTCTTTTTTTTTTTTCCTTTTCCTTCTTAAAACATCATTTCATTTTTTAGTTTACTACAAAATATTATTTAATTTTTAATGAAATTTATTCTATTATATAATTGTTATTTTGAAGATGTAAGAAAAAAAAAATTTTCTTTTTCAATGATTAATTTTAAACTTTTGAAATTATACTTTAAATAAAATATATATATGAAAAATTGGAAAAGAAGGAAGAGCTAAAGAAATCACAATACTATAATATTTGAATTTAATGATGCAAGAAAAAAAAAAGGAAGAGAATACTTCTTTTTGAAATTGAGAAAAGTTTCTGAATTTTTTTTTTTTTTTTGAAAAAAAAAATCAAAGAATATCTTCCTTTCGTCCATAATCTCTTGAAATCTTTCAATATTACGCATTATTATTGCAAGTGCTAGGAAAAATTTAGAAAACTACAATAAAATAATTAAATATTTTAATTGACGAACAGTAAATGACTTGTTTTTTTTCCGCTTAAATTCAACCAGTAAATGTTTAATTAGTGATAGGACAATTTAATTAATATAATGTTTTCCTTCTTTTTTTT